CAACAAAGGCGCTTGTGCGGCTGACTCCATTACATCCATGGACAAGAATTGGTGGAGGTTCCAAATCGTCGGCAAGACATGTTGTTGCCTAAATTGTCAAGGGGTTTTATCAAAGATTCACTTAGTGAAGGCCTCGGATGCAGTGATCCGCTGATCCATTGAAGGGATTCCATACGGCTGTTGAGAGAAGCGCAATGAGGTGGTACCTCGGTGGAGCAGAAGGGCGGCGCGCATACTCGAAGCGACGACCCCAGATCTGATTGGTGTGGTAACAGAGGTTGTCAATGAATTTGTGGGTGCACAGCTAGCTGAAAATGAAAAAGAACCAATGTAAACCGACGATGAGGCCATGTTCCTTCTCTTACGCCTTGAAATAAGGAAGGGGCGGGGCGGACGAGTTTTCTGAAATTGCTTGCTACCATGGCTCCACTAAGCCGCGCGTATTGAACTCAGCGGGTGTGCCGTAAAACACGTGTGTCAAGTTGTCATCTCATTCTTAAGCTTACATCAGCCGCCATTAGACCAACTTAGCCGCCACCACACCAATTTGTAAGGCGCTAGTGCCATTGTTGTGCACTTTTGAGCCACAATAGCTATACATCATGAGCTACTCCATCCCACCAGCAGAATAGGTTCTTTACATACTTCATCTGAGGTTGTTACTCTAATATGGCAATTAGGAAGGTTAATTAATGAAGAAGACCCAAGTCAGACTAAGCCATTTCTACAAATAGAGGAGGCTCATAACAATGACATACCGTCTCCGTGGCCCAGACTTCCGCGACAAGTTTTAGTTGTCTTCGAGGATCTATGGGATCTTCCAGCTGTAAACAGGACTGGTTTTCAATGAATTTTTCAGGAGGTCTCGTAGCAGCTTTGGCTATGGTTGCCCTCGTACGTTATAGTTGGAGCGAACCTTGGTCGGCATCACTATCACGTAAAGAGTGCGGTGTTTTTCTGTAGACAGCTTATTTGCCACTCGTAACTCGTAATTCATAATACCAGCATCTTCTTCTCGAACTGATATTGTGCGTATGTGAAAACGATTTTTGATCTGAAAATTTGGATCAAATTATGCTTTTCAATATTTTAAGAAATCACGCGATTAGACTCGGAGTAAAGTGCTGAGAGAGCACATGCTGGCTGCTTAGCATTGAAGATAAAAAGGATAATAAAAG